CCTCGGGTCGAGGGCTTGGTGTTTAGGGTTTGGGTTTAGGGTTTAGGGTTTAGGGTTTAGGGTTTAGGGTTTAGGGTTTAGGGTTTAGGGTTTAGGGTTTAGGGTTAGGGTTTAGGGTTTAGGGTTGAAGGTCTTTAGTATTTAGGTTTAGGGATTTAGGGTTCAGGGTATATGTTTTGGGGTGTAGGGTTGCAGGTCTTTAGTATTTAGGTTTAGGGATTTAGGGTTCAGGGTATATGTTTTGGGGTGTAGGGTTGAAGGTCTTTAGTATTTAGGTTTAGGGATTTAGGGTTCAGGGTATATGTTTTGTTGTGTAGGGTTGAAGGTCTTTAGTATTTAGGTTTAGGGATTTAGGGTTCAGGGTATATGTTTTGGGGTTAAGGTTGAAGGTCTTTGGGTCTAGGGTATTGGGTTTGGACATTACGGTGTAGGGTCTAGGGTACACTATACGGGCCTTACGAACTGCTACAAGCCTCCTTGAAAGGGTAGTAGATAGGGGGTACTTTAGGGGTTTAGGTGAGGGCCTGAAGAACTAGAGTAGGGCTCCGTTTTGAAGGGTCTTTAAAGGGTTCTTTGAAAGGTTTCTGGTTTAGGGTCTAGTTTAGTATAGGGACCTCCATAGCTAGAACAGGGTTGTGGGCTTTCAGAACTAGAATGGGGTTTTGGGGCGTTTTTTAGTATAACAATACAGGGACTGAAGAAAAAGCTATTGCTAGTCATGAGGACCCCTTATGTTGACGCTAAGTAGCAACTTTCGACGGGCAAAGGTAAACAACAACGTCATAATCTGGCATCTTCGTCGTCGTAGTCGCAGTTCTTATAGTGGCGAAAGTGGAGGTTGTGGTTGTTCTGATCGCCAAAGAATGCCAGTGCCAGTCCAAACAGCGCTCGATGGAATAGTCGTTGCACGAGGCGTGCCATGTTTCAGCAGTATCAGAATCGAAATGAGAGCATCATAGGACCGTAAGCCCTAACCCAAAACCCTGAACCCTAAACCCTAAAAAGCAATCCGGTTTGTAACGATGTAAGGAACAGGGAGCCCACGACAAGACCACAGAGATTGTCCAAGGACGGCTCCAGATGAACGACCTCACCACCTACAACTTGGAATCTGGGCTCTTGTTAAGGAGCTTAAGTTGGGCGACCATAATGGGGATCTAGAGTTGCGAAGGAACCTAAGCTGAGCTCACTAATATGGATCTATGAGGTCTTTTGTTAATTTTTATGGTACCCTAAACCCTAAACCCTTAAGCCTTAAACCCTAAATCCTAAGCCCTAAATGGTTTCTTTTTTCTGGAGAACCCAGGAATTGGCGGCGGCCGCACGAAGTTCGCAGTGGACCACGGTTTTGGCTCTCCTCGCTGAGGCGGAGCATCGGATGGCAATGATACGTCAGAGGTGGATTCCGCTTCGGTGGGCTGTCTTTATAGGGTTTTGGGTTTAGGGTTTAGGGTTTACGGTTTAGGGTGCTAGGGTTTAGAGTTTAGGGCTTAGGGTTTGGTGTTTAGGGCTTGAGGTTTAGGGCCAGTTTAGGGGTTGAGTAATGTGTCAGGTTTGGCGTAATAGCATTCTGTTGGCCTCCCTAATCTCATGATCGTTTTGAGACCCCCCAAACCATGGGCTAGTTATTCAGGCTTCCCGTGATAGCTTTCAATCAGGAGCCAGCTAGGTTCATGGTTGTAGCATTTCTAGGCTTCAGGGGGCTTCAATGTAGCAATCTGATTCAGGCACCCGTTGCTCCCATCAGGGCTATCGCTTTGGATGCGACTAGTCCCTACACCCGTTTACAAAGCCAGCGGAGCTAAACCCTCAACCCCAAGCCCAAAACTCACAAAAACCCTAAACCCTAAACCCTAAACCCTAAACCCTAAACTCCAAGTCCAAGCAAGGAAAGCACGCGAGTGCAAGGAGACCTGGTATCTTTCAACACGGCAGCTAAGCGGCAGGATGAGGGTTTATAGAAATTGTTAAGGGTTTGGGTGCCAAAGTTTTGACCGAGTTTTGACCGAGTTTTGACCGAGTTTTGACCGAAACGTTTTGGCCGAAACGTTTTGACCGAAAGTTTTTTTTTTGGAACCATGCT